AAGAGAAGATACAATCAGTGTATTCACTGTTGCCATGTAAGAATAACATGATTGGAACAGAACACTGGGATTTTTTTTCAGAATTGAAACTCTATTATTTTAAATATAATTCACGTGTATTATCAGGTTCCAGTGACTTCCTCTTCTTATATTCTTCCCTTACAAGCCAAAATCTTACCTGAAACTATTAGCTCTTCTATGCTCTCTCTGAATGCTCTAAATCCTGTTTCTGGTTTTGAAAAGGACTGCCCTCTGCTGGTTTAACATTTCACTATTGTAACTTAGATGTGGGACAGATGTCATTGTACTAACTTGCATTTGGGGTTTCTGGCTACAATTAGTACAGTAAAGCACATTAGGAATTGGATCTACCTCTTACTGTGTTTCATCAGGGCAAAATAACCTTTGTAAAGTGCTAAAATTGTCAAGGTTTTTCTGGATTCATCTGTAAGATATAATGGTCCTTTTTTCCCATATTCATGATGTGCAATAATTTGATTCCTTTTTCATTAATTCATGTTTTGTGTGCTTTTGTATATGTGTGTGAATTATGACAGTAATGAATTCTGACAGTAAATCAGTTTTTACGCCAGAACTCAAATGTTTGTTGTAAGTTTGGGAAGAGGAAATCCTGGGGCAAAATACCTCTAAAAACTGAAATCAGTCAAAGGGAGAAATAAAGTTTAAAACCGGTTTATTGCTCACAAACTGCAGTCCTGGACCTTCCTTGTCTGCTCTGGAAGAAGAAAAACCTGCCCTCCTGTCTCCTCTTGGGTACAGATAAGCCCTCCTTGCCCAGGTAATTACCTATTGACATGGAGATGAACTTCTCCACCCCTGAGGAATGATGCAAATGCACTAAAGCCATACTTCTTTCCACTGCTAAATGCCTATTGATATGCAGATGTACTAAAGCCAGGCAAGATATTCTGGAAATATTACAGTTTTACACACATTGGTGATGGCTGAACTTGGGATATTTAAGCTTGAAGGCTTCAGAACTGAATCAGACCCAGATGGAATGACATTGTTGTGAATAGAACAGAGACTCACTTACTAGAAGGTGATGTTTCCTGGGCCCCTCTCTACTGTAACTGAATCAGAATCTCTTGGAGTAGTGTTTCAGATCTCTTCTACCTTTTTTTTGTATGCTAAAGTTAGAGAACTTCAGATAAGTGACTTTTAGGAGTAAATTCCATCCTCAAAATAATGTTCTATGAACAGCATATATCAAATGTTTTCAGGTTTGTGGGAGTAGAGACTAGTCTGATGTGGAATTGTTAATTTTCTATGCAGTTGGGAAATCCTGAGTGAGCACAGGGGGATAGGAAAGTAGCACATTATCAGAAACGTAGCAGCCAAGACTTGATCTCTGGTCTCAGAGGTTTCAGCTGTGATACGGAAAATGAGGCAGTCACCTGATAAATTATTCATACTTGAGTAACAGTGTTTTTAGAGATATTTCAAACTCTCTGAGGTCACAAAGCAAAACATCTTTGCAGAACTTTGACCAAATGATAATGTTCCTTGAAAAGAAATTAAAATAAGATATTGTATAAAGTGAAATATAGGAACATCTTTTTCCTCTTCTCTTCTTCCCACCATACAGGGATTACCTTTGTTTACTAAATTTTGGGTCTATTGTTCCAGACTGATTCTCTGCTCATGAAGATACATATGTATTTACATATATTCACTTGTATGTTTGATATTTTGAATATTGATATATGCAAACAGATTTCCTCACTTTTCCCAAATGCTATAACAATTTAGATTCCCAGCATTGTAGGATATTACAGCTTTTAATAAATTGATGAATGCACTTATTACTGTTACTGAGTTTGAGCATCTTTTTTTAGAACAGGTAATCTCTATTTGCGTTTCTTGTTTGGTGATTTGTTTACTGATTTCCTTTGGGTGTTTTAAAATTGGGTTAGTTTTTTTGGTGGTGGTGGTGGTGTTCTTTGTATAGTATGGATATTTATTTAGTCTTTTTCTGTTACATTGAAATAATATTTACTTTTAGTATTTTCAGTTGTATAGTATTAAGTAACATATTTTTGTGCCAGGAACTTGGTTGAGTCCTTTACATGTGTTAATTTCATTTCATATTCACTGTTGTCATCTCCACTTTACAGATGAGGTGACTGTAATGCAAGGAGGTTAAATAACTTGTATGAACACATGCTTCTGCTAAGTGAGAGAGCCAGTATTTGAATCTTAAAAGTTTGATTTAAAAACTATTACACTTAACCTTTACACTGTATCTTTACTTAGAAAATTTTTTAAGTGTGAAAAACTGAAAATTTCAAATTTGATGTTAAACTCATTTTTTTAAAAAGAATATTTTTAAGAGGCCATCATGACTTTAATACAAACATTCCTTCAGAACTAGTAACATAAACATGTATGTGAGAGATAGATAAAATACTGTAATGTGTTAATACAAATATTCCATTCCTTTTGGGGGCATTTGTCGTATTTCTGTTTAGAACTGACCTTCAGCATTTTGTTCCCTTCTATTTCCTTCTACTGATTTAATAGTAATATTAATACAAATAACAAGATTGTTAATCTTCTTGTTGCCCATCATTTTCCTTTAATGTATCCTCAACACTACTACTGGAATAATCATCTTAGGTACAGCTTTGATCGAATCACTCACTCCTTTGTCAGGATACTTGCAGTAATGTGGCATTTCTTGCTGAATGAACCCAGGCTCTTTAGCAAGGCATTTGAAGACTTGTACAACTCTGCTTAACCTTTATCTTTCAAGAATTATCCTGAGCAAAATTTTTTTTCTTTTTAAAAAATTAAGTTTGCTGGCCATGATGCATCTGTTGCACTAGACTTTGAATCCAGTGATTCAGTCCAAATTTCCATGGGACTTAATTTTGTTTGTATGTAATATGACATAATGTAAAGTGCTGTTATTTCTAGAATTTCTGTATATTATGACTGTAGATGTGGCAGAGTCATTGGAAGGGGGGTAAGGAAATTAAGCAAGTTATTCTGAAGCAGGGTTTACTTAACAAACAAGATATTTCTTTCTTTAGATTGTGTTGTATATTTGGATGATGGAGGTTGGGAGGTGGGAGACACCACCCAGCCACCCTAGGGCACAGACTTTTGTGTAGGTACAGGCTTGGAGTATCTAACAGACCTTACTTGCCATATTATCTTGAACAATATATTTAACTACTCTAAGTGTTAGTTTTCTCATTTGAATAACTTTTCTTGACACTCTGTACTGCAGATAAATGGGATAATTTGTTTCTTTTGGAGCCATAGTCTTCTGGCTTCATACTTGGATCAGTTAGTGTTCTCATTTGGCAGGAGCTGACTGGCTTATTGAGTGAGGAATTTACTTAAGGGTATTTGGTACCTCATAGAATGTTTTGGGAGGCCTAGAGAACCAGGCTAATGTTAATGTTCCAGGTAATATGCCTCAAATCACGTCTGAGAACTATCACTCCCCTGCCCCACCAGGCACTGGGTGAAATCATCAGTGCTGCTCAGCTGCTGCCACTTGTGGGCCAGTACTTGACGGGGCCACCTCTGCTACTCCACTGTGGAAGGCTGAGCCCCTGTTGGCACCTGTCCCAGTCAGAAATGGTAGCTCCACCCAGAGATTATCTCTCATGTGACTCAATTCTAAACTGATGTCTTGTACAGGTGCTTCTACATGTCTGCATTATAATTGCAGGTATGTTAGGAATTCGAGGTTAAAATTTATTTTGGAGAATGAGACTTATAATGTGGGAATTTCCTGAGTATAAAAAGGTTCTGCAGAAGTTGATGAGAAGCTTGAATATGATAAATGTTCACTATTGTACTTTTGCTTGTATTCCTTCATCTGTAATGTCTTTCCCTCTTCATTTCCATGCAAAGACTTGCTGAAATTCCATTTTTTTAATCTGTCTGCCTGGTCTTTCTCATCTGAATTTTCTTATGACTTTCTCAACCTTTCTTTTCCCATTACTTTATTTCTTTAAAACATTATCAAAGCTAAATATAAATATATTCTAGTATGAGTTAAACAGTATGGGAAGATACAGAATAAATTGCGAAATTTGCCTTTCATCGTTCATCTCCTTTCCTCCTGTACTTCAAATTGCTTTCCCCTTTCTAGAGATTGTCTGACAAAAATTAAAATCTTTGATTTTAATTTGGCACATGATGGTAAGTTCATTGAGTACAGAGGCTTTTATTTATCTTTTGGGCTTCTATAGACCTACCTAAACTATTCCAGTGTGTAGAATAATGCTATGTGAAGGCCTGAACTAAGGCAATAGCTTTATATAATCATTTTGGAAGTGAAAACTTACAACTTGGGTATTTTAGTATGCAGAGAAAGATAGGAATCAAAGTAGACTCTTAAGAGTTCTAACTTGGGAAGTAATATATTACTGATGATGCCATTAAGGCAGACTGGCAACATAGGAACTGCTCTGTATCTGCAAATAGATTGCTAGAACACTTTCTGATTACTTTCCATTATGGTGAGAGCTCCTTTATCCATATTTCTGACTTGAATGAGAATTTGAGGATATGCTAAAATGTTCACTTTTGGTGTAGATTACTACAGTTTAAGAAAGACAATGAAAAAAATACATTTTCTATCAAGAGTTGTTTCTGAGGCTTCAGTGCTGGATTATGAGTAAGACCAGTCAGTGGGGAGATGGATTTTTCTTTTAAATGTATAAAACTTAGATTACATAGGCTAAATATCAACCTCTTTTTCAGTCATTTTTCATCTGTAAGTAGATGTAAATGGGCATATGTTTTGTTGTATATATACTTTTAGAAAATGATGTTTGAAAGTCTGTTTGATTTGTTTTTGTTTAGATAAACTTTAACAACAAAAACAATAATCCTCTCATTTTAGTAAAATAGATCTGGAAAAGTTGTGCTGGAAAACCATATTCAGATTTTTGTTTTGGCATTTTGCCTTTTTTTTCTATTAATCACAACTAATTTGACGTTCTTTTTCTTTCCAGATCATTCAACTTCAAGTGGTATATTATCTTTTAAGCCTAGTCGATCATTAGTTACTCTTCCTACTGCCCATGTCATGCCGTCTAACTCCAGTGCTTCAGTTTCTAAACATAGGGAATCATTGATATCAGGTGGCTCAAAATGGAGTTCAAGCCTCATGCAAACATTGGGAAACCACAGTAGAGTTGAACAGGATTCTTCACTAGACATGAAGGACTTCCAACCCCTTCGGAAATGGTCATCTTTATCCAAACTCACTGCCCTGGATAACTACAGTGAGGGTGTCATTATACACACTGAAGAGTCAAGGAGTGGACTGGAAAAGACAGGGAGGGGCAAGGCTTTGACATCACAGCTAAGGACAGTGGGGCCCAGCTGCTTGGAAATGCTTAAGCTGGAGGACAAGGAAATAAATAAAAAACGATCATCAACTCTGGACTGCAAATATAAATTTGAGAGCTGTAGCAAAGAGGCCTTTAGAGCTTCTTCCTTCACTCTAAGGAGACAAACCTCAGACATGACACACAGTGCCTTACCTGAAAGTAAGCCCATTAGGACCAGCTCAGATGCTTTTGAACCTACGAAATACTTAATGCTTGGTCAACAGGCAGTAGGTGGGGTTCCAATTCAGCCTTCCGTGAGAACACAGATGTGGCTTACAGAACAGTTGCGGACAAACCCCTTGGAAAGCAGAGCTCCAGAGGACTCTCAAAGCTCAGCTCCTTGGCAACACCAACAGATTGAAGAGTTTCAGCAAGAAAGTGAAATACCAATGCAGGTAAGGTTGAAATCCAGCAGGTGTTGTGGGTACAATAGCACATTTGTAGTGAGCATATGACAGTGTCCCTAGGTACAGATTATTTTGCTTTTCCTTTCCCTTGCGAATTCATAGACATAAGTCTTAAAAACTACGAAAATATAGACTTGGTAATCAAAACTTTAAGAATATTTGAGGCTAGTTAAAGTGAAAAATTTAAAATCTTGTACCTAACTTGATCTTTACTTTCCTTCTGATTTGTTAAATGGGCATAAAAGTGAAGAAAGCAAAACAATTCAATCTAAAGAAACTTGAAAAAGAAGCCGAGGAGCTGGTGTGGTATAATAGAAAGAATGTTTACATGAGAGTAGTATGAGGTCTTGGATTTGTTTCTGGTTCTGTCAGATTCAGAACTTGAATGATTCTCTACATGTCAGTTACTATTTAATATCTCTGGGCCTTAGTTTCTTTTTCTTTTTTCTATGAGATATAATTGACATATAACAATATATTAGTTTCAAGGGTACAACAATGAATCCCTGTAGGTATATATTATGAAATGAGCACAGTAAGTCTCTTAACATCCATCACCATACATAGTAAAAATTTTTTCTCTTTGTGATGAGAACTTTTAAGATTTACTCTCACTAACTTTCAAATGTATAACATAGTATCATTAACTATAGTCACCATGCTGTACATTGTATGTCCATGACTGACTTACTTTACAACTGGAAGTTTGTATCTTTTGATTCCTTTCACTCATTTTGCCCTCCTCACCCCCTCCACACACACACAACTCCTGCCTCTGGCAACCACTATTCTGTTCTCTATATCTCTGAGTATGTATGTATGTATGTATGTATGTATGTATGTATGTATTGACTTATTTATCTATCTTTCTATCTATCTATCTATCTAACTGATTCAACATATAAGTGAGGTCATATGGTATTTGTCTTTGACTTATTTCACTTAGCATAATGCCCTCAAGGTCAATCCATGCCACAGATGGCAAGATTTCCTACTTCTTTTTATAGCTGTATAACATTCCAGTGTATACATACCACATTTTCTTTATCTTTTTTTATAGCTGAGTAATTTTCCAGTGTATACATGTAAGTCTGGGGAGAGGAAATCCCAGGGCAAAATACCTCTAAAAACTGAAATCAGTCAAAGGGAGAAAGTTTGAAACCCATTTATTGCTTACAAACTGTAGTCCGAGGCTGTCTCTCTCCCCTGCTCCGGAAGGAAGCAAGCAAGCCCCTCCCCTTAACCTGTCAGGTTCAGACACCCTCGGTTGCCCAGGTAATTACCCATTGACATGGAGGTGAATTTCTCTCCACCCTTGAGGAAATGCAAATGCACCAAAGCCAGGTGAGATACTCTGAAAACATTACAATTTTACCCGCAGGCCTCCCCTCCAGAAATCTCACTTTATAGTCTGCTCATTCCCCCTCTTCAGCAATGGTCTCTGGGCAAGAAAACTTGAGTATTGTGACCAGACTAATGACATAACAATACCAACAGCAATAAAATCATAACAATCCTCAAGCCAGAGGATTCAGCTAGGTTCAAAGTCTTATGTAGATTAAGGCCATAGCTTGTCCATTCCATAGGCAGGCAGTAGCTCAGGGTTCAGAGCAATCACCACGTGGCAGCTGCAGCCAGTGAGGGGGGGGGCACATTCAGGCCATAAGGACTGTAGGAGAAAATAACCCTAAGGGTTATTAAAATACGTGTTTTAATGACATCAGCATGGGCAAATCTTGTCCATCAGGTAGGATACATGCAAGAGAGTGGTCTTGTGATAAAAGAGTGGCAGGAATGGGATCTCTTCCTGGTCTAGTATACCAGACTATCTATCACCCCTGTCCCTGTGGGAGTTACAGATGGGTCAATATATAGGGCTACAGGAGGTACATGCACTGGCCATAAAGATAAAACAAAACTTCCCTGCAAGATGCTCTTACTTCCTAGACGTTTTGGGTACACTACTGTGACCTTTGGGGGCCATTTAGCTGTTATTCCAGGAATACACAGGAGGCCAGCTTCCAGGCCTTGTCCCCAAGGTACCAGAAAGGCCAACCATTGCTGGTCCATGTGTCAAAATGCGCAGGGCCAGGTCCATTCAACAGTGTCTCCAGGGCTTAATGCAGTAGGGGCTGGCCGCAGAATGTTGCTCTGCTGGCCATATCCTGGCTTCAATAAGTCTTTGGTTTGGATGTACAATTGTATAAGAGAAGCATCAAGGTGTGTGAGCATATTCACAGGGCTCAAAGCTCCTTTACGTGGCTTCTCATTCAAACGCCACAGCACCGTCTATAGGTGAACTGACCAACCCTGTAGACTACTGGTGTCTGACTTTAGGCCAAATTTCAACAAGCTGTTGTACTTCTCTATCATGTCTGCCCCCACAGGATTATATGGTACATGAATTTTCCATGTTATTCCTAATTGCTGCACCCATTCTTCAGGTATAGGGGCTTTTCCCTTCTGATAAGGAGTCTCAGCTACCAGTGGCTCAAAAGCAACTTCTTCCTGCTTTCCACTGGTAGAGGTCACTGGCCCCAATAAGCATTGGAGTTAGTCCACTTAAGGGGCTAGTCCAGAGGGCACTGCGCTGCTGTAAATATGTACCCCATTTGGCCAGTAGTCTAGGTGTCTGTGCTATGCCACTCCATGGCCTGTGGGTCCAGCCTCACACCCACTCTGTGATGGTAGAGGTGGTTATTATCTTGGTTGGAGCTGTTCCAGTGATGGGCTCTCTATCCAGCAAGGCATGGTACACAGCAGCCAGTTGTTGCTTCTTTGTCAAGGTGTGCCAGACCTCTGCTCCTTTCCATAGATGTGACCAGAATCCAATACGTTGGTGTGTCCGTTCAAGCCACTGCTAAAGACCCCATCCATAACCATTTTCGGTTTCATTAACATCTAGTTCACAGGGCCTTGATGAGTCCATTACATTCAAGGCCTGTACGGCTTTGACTGCACACTTGGCAGCAGTAAAAGCATCTGCACATGTCTCATCCCAGTCCTACCTGATGCCCGTTCGTACCAACCGGTATAAGGTCTTCAGAATTTGTGCCAAGTTTGGGATAAACACTCTCCAGTAGCCCAGAGGCCCAAAAACTCTTGTAATACTGCCACAGTGGTACGGGTGTGGAAAGCTTCAGAAACAACTTTAGTTTTACCCAACCAGGCAACCCCCAAGAATTTCAGACAAACCAGGTCCCTGAACCTTGGTGCGGTTCACAGTCCATCCTTTTTCCTGTAGATGTTGCAACAGTCCAGCAACTCCCCCTTTTAAATCTGAAAGAGAATCAGATGTAAGCATAATGTCATCAATGTAATGATTCCACCGCACTGTTTGCAGTTTCCTCCATGTGGCCAAGTCCTGGGCTACCAGTCCATGACAGATGGTGGGACTGTGGAGATATCCCTGTGGAAGGACAGTGAATGTCCACTGCCGGCCTTCCCATGTGAAGGCAAACCATTCCTGGCTTTCCTGTGCTATGTCAATAGAGAAGAAAGCATTAGCAAGGTCTTCTACATAATGATACATTCTCATTTCATCGCTGAGAGTGTCCAGAATGTCTGCTGGAGAGGGGACAGCGGCATGCAAAGGGGGTGTGACTTTATTCAATTCCCTGTAGTCTACAGTCATATACCAGGAGCCGTCTGGCTTTCTCACTGGCCACACTGGGGAATTTAAAGGACTATGAGTGGGCTTTATGATGCCCACCCTCTTAATCTCCTGTAGAGTTTCTCCAATTTCCTTGTGCCTCCGCCTCCCCAGGCAATTTATATTGCTTAGTATTTGTCACCCGCTGAGGTACAGGCAGAGTTACAGGTGGGTGCTTAGCATGTCCCCTCAGAGCTGTCTTTACCACACATACCCTCACTCTGAACTCACCTGCAGTGGTCTGTAACCACAGACCCTGCAGGATATCTACCCCCAAAATATATTGAGGGATGGGAAAAATGTACACAGTGTACTCCTTCGGGGGTAAATGCCCTGTCTCCAATGAGATTTGGGCTTTTTTCACTCTAATTGCCTTACCCCAAAAGCCATTTATCATAGCAGGGGTCCCGGGAAAACACTCAGGGTTGACATGAATCAGAGAACACTCAGCTCCTGTGTCCACCAGCACCAGGACACATTGTACATTCACAGGGGACCAATGAATTGCTAATTCTACATGTGGCCTCTGGTCCCCACCATGTCCCCCAAGGTAGGGACTTTGACACCCCCCTCAGTTGAACCGTGATGCCCAATCATCCTCCTGTGGGGGTGAGGGCTCAGGAAAATCCTGAGTACTATCTCCCATGAAGTTTTGCAGAGACACAGGCTGGGCGTGAGGCCTTGACTCTGTTTTCTGTGTCCTGGATCTCAGCAGCTGAACTGCTGCTCTGGCTTTAATTGGTGCCACAGTTCTAACCAGATCCTATTGAGCTGCCCATCAAGTTTTTCTTTCACTACCCCTGGTTTTAATCAAGTCAACCCACATATGTGTCCTCAAGACCTTCATAGGGCCTTTTGCACCTCTCCTTTTAGTCGTAGCCTGTACTTCCTTCCATGCTCTTATTGTTTCAGCCTCCCCCAGGTCTGCTAAAGTACGAGTAGCCTCGCTTATGGTTTGCCCTATGTAGGGGGCAAGAATAGTCACTAGGGACCCAAAGAGAGATGTGGGAGCTGTATGCAGCACCAGATTTTTCATTCCTATAGTCAACACCTCTTCATCAGGTCCCTGGGGCTCCATATTACAGATGATATTTTTTATACCTAAATCCTGTAGTACCTGTTGGAGCTCTGCATATGTTTTCCAACTACTGGGAAAATATGGGAAACCACCCTGATTTGGCCGAACTACCCTGTTGGCAGCTGTCAACCATTCCAGGAGTGTCTGATTCCCTGAGGTGTGACAGGCATTTTGCAACCACTGTGGGATGGAAGGGTGAGTCATCAGGGAAGCCATTCTACTCATCTCAGTACCTGACATAATGTTTTCCACCCCCAT